CACAATTTAATACCCCTCAAGGAATTTAAAACTCTTCTAAAGACTCTGGAATCTAGGTTATCTATATGTAATTGTAAATTCTAACTATGTTTTTCTTTTCTTTCTTGGATTACTTTGTAAGACTCTGCATTGTAAGTGCCTGTAATCACAAGGTCGCCGGTTCAAGCCCAGCCTCAGCACGTCTGCGGGTCCTTGAGCAAGACCCTCAACCCCCAGCTCCCTGGGCGCCGCTACAGGTGGCTGCCCTTCGCGGACAACTTGCTCTACAAAAAGAGCAAGTTGAGGGAGGCGTAAAAACAATTTCCCCACGGGGATTAATAAAGTGTTCATTATTATTATTAACTGTGTTGCTGCCACCTTGGCCAGGTCTCCCTTGCAAAAGAGATCTGTGATCTCAATGGGATAAACCTGGTTAATTAAAGGTTAAATAAAATATAATAAAATCCCGCAACGAAGCGAAGCCGGTATGCGGCCGGCCTGCTCAAAACTTGCGTGTCGAATGGTTGCCCCGTGCGGGCAGCACGCGTGACGCAGGCGCACTCACGCAGACACAAGTTCAATTGGCGACCTAGATGCATTTACTTGTATTTTGTATATTATTTATTTTAAACAAGATGCCCCGATTTTATTTAAATACATTTAATAGCTGTAGGAACTAGTGAGCGGTATTTAGCAACATACCATGTTAGAATAATGCCATGGGAATATTATTTTTAAGGGCTAAAAACATCAAACGTGTTTGTCAAGCATAGCACAGCGCCAATGCACGGAAGCTCGCACCTGCCGTAGGAAACATGGGGGTAGAATCAAACAGGCCACTGTCTTTGAGCTAGACTGATCATCCGTTCACAAGTTATTAAACAAGGGGTAGAATCATCAGCTCCCAGGCCACTTTGGACATATGGTGTAGTCATAAACCGTCGCGGATGTTTACACGAAACCATGCATCAAACAAAGAATAATGATTCGTAAGACAACCATTTTTCAAAATGGTCGTAACAAACGTGACCCCGTGGGGGCAGCACGCATGGCGCCGTTTGGTTAATTATTTTATACTATTTACAAATAAGTCAGATTAACAAATAGAGTTAATGCGCATTCTGTCAGGATTGCGGCGTACTTTCACAATTAAGGGCCATGTCTAGCCTCAGGCGGACAATTTCCACCGATCGCCTAAATTCCGTCTGCTCTGGCTTTTCTTTCTTGTGTCTGTTGGCGATCGGCGGAAATTGTTCATTAGAAATGTGGCAGTGTTCGTTCGCGAAAGCGAAAAAGCAAACGGTAATGCAAAATTTTTAAATGCATTTGAATTATTTCACACTTTATGCGTCCACATATGGAAAACGCAATTGCAAATGCAATTTGCAATTCCTTTTGAAAAATGTCCGGGATTTCCCTCCATATAATACAACGGCTGCATGAGGAAAAACACAAACTTGAAACAAGTTTGAAAAAAAAAACCTTACAGTACCACACACGGCCAAACTGCTGCTGCAGAGGGCGTCAGCTTTCACAGACACAGGCAGACCCGAAACTGCTGCTAAGCGTTTATTGGAGGACGATAGCGTCACCCATTTTCCCAAACCCACCTCCTCTCATTCTTAGTTCCAACTTTCTCATTCTCCCAGAGTTTCTTTCAGTCTCGCGCAGCACAGCTCACAGCTCTCCAGAAGGGACGTGCACAGACATTTTGAGGGGCAGGGGCTCAAGTGAAATAAAGGNCATGTTCGTACCATGTCCACTTATGGACACCCTTATGCTCGAACATGGTGTTCGTTATGGACAAACCATAATACAACAATAAATACCTTAATACAAATACATAATACAACAATAAATACCTTCCTGTGAAAAAGGGGCAACTTATATCAAATGGAAATTGATAGAATCATGAAAATTATGCAAATATAATGTACACTTCACAAACAATTTTTTTGAAGTGAAAAGGATTAAATTATTCTTCTTCCAAGTCATGAATGGAATGAGGCACAGTTCATAATTTCTGAATATTGCACAATCCTGATAAGAATATACACTAATAAAGGGTAATACAATAAAAAGACAAGAATTAATTTTTTTCTCCAAGAAATTGGTGATTTTTTGGATGACTACAGGAACACCACTTTGGGTGCCAAACCTCTCCAAAATCAATAAAAATAATCTTTGAGGATCTGCATTTTCCATTTTTTCTCTCAAATGGCTGTCATGCACATTTTGCTTTTCAGGTAAAGACTCCAACAGCAGGACTGTGGTACAGCAGCCTGTGTCTGACACAGTGCAGCCAGGAGACTCTGTGAGCCTGCAGTGTACAGTAGAGGCTGGGAGCTGTGCAGGAGAACACAGTGTTTACTGGTTCAGACATGCATCAGGAGAATCCCTTCCAGGAGTCATTTACAGCCACGGAAACAGGAGTGATGAGTGTGAGAAGAGTCCTGAGGCTGGATCTCCTACACGGAGCTGTGTCTACAGCCTCCCCAAGAGGCACCTCAGCCTCTCTGATGCTGGGACTTACTACTGCACTGTGGCCATGTGTGGGGAGATGCTGTTTGGGAACGGCACACAGCTGGATATGGTTGGTAAGACCTAGAGTGGGGAGAGTATCTGCTTCTGTACAAATTTTTATTTTACTTATTTTGCTATTAAGACAATTATTTCTTATTTTAATGTAATGATTTTTGTAATTTAAGTGCATAAATTGAATTACACAAATGTTTAATAAGTATTGAAAATATTACTTAATACAAAAAGTTAAAATGCAAAATACCAAAAGTTCATGTTAAAAATGGACTACTTACAAAACAACTGCTGTAATTTCTTTTAGATTTTATCTTTAACGAATGTAACGTAAGCAAATGGGAAATGTGTCTCTATATGATTATGCTGAAATCTATTTCTTTGTTATAGGCTATCAAAAGCTGCTGGATCCTCTTCACTCTGGCTTGCTGATAGTTTTATCTTGCAGCATTATTCTTGTCACGCCCCGCTCCGTCCACTCCCAATGTGTGCCACGCCCACCTCGTTACCTCGTGTTCAGCCCTGATTGTGATCGCCTGTGTCCTATTAAGTCTAGCTTGTCTTTTGTATTTAGTCCTCGTCTGAGTCAGTCTTCCCCAGACTTGTCATTGTAGTGTCACGTTGGATGTCCGTGCCTGTCCGTCCCTCCCTAAATAAACCCCGTTACCTGAACTCCTGGCTGCAACTCACCTGATTTCTGGTTCGTCGGATCCCGATGCTGACAATTCTGAACGTTGCCCTCATTTGTATAAGATGTAAAATGACCTGTACACACTGCGCAGGTACGCTGCCCGGCTTTATGCTCTCAGAAGGACGACAAAAAATATTTTTAACAAAGACTGATGTGCTTATAACAGAATAGAATTGTCTAATACTAGATAAAAATCTTTGCATTAAAACCACTCTCGTGGGAAACCCAATATCCCTTATTAAAATCTTACCTAATTTATTTACATATCTTTAGTATTTTGCAAAATATACTGAGATATACAACACATGTTGCAGTAAGTTGCATATCAATAACATTTATTAGTCTGCCTGGCCCTCCTGTCCCCTCCCCAGTGTGGCCCAAATGAGCCACTCCTGTTGCTCGTTGTCCCCTCGTTAGTCGTTGTATATGTCTGTCACTGTGTCTGTCACTGTGCTCATCTTCCCGGATCTCGGTCCGACCCTGAGCCTTTCCCCTGCTTGTTCCCTGTTCTCCTGTTTTGATCCCTCGTGGTCACGTTTTGTTTTCCCCATAACTGTTAACAGGGACGTGCACAGACATTTTGAGGGGCAGGGGCTCAAGTGAAATAAAGGGCACTCTCATA